AGACGGTCACAGTCCACCTAGTCTAGTGGGTCTCAACTCTGGGTGGGGATCACCTGGGGAGCTTTCAAACAAATGTCTGGCCCCACTCATGTCCAATTAAATCAGAATCTCTTGGGGTGGGCCCAGGCAGCAGCAGTTTTGAAAAGTCCTTCAGGAGATTCTTACGTATGGCCAGGCAGGGTTGAAAACGACTGGTATATACCAGGGATTGGGAAACGTTCTCTGCAAAGGGCCGCATAGTCAATATTTTGACTTTGTGGGCCATATAGTCTCTGTCTCGACTCAACTCTGCCATAGTAGGTGCTATAGATAATAGGTAAGTGAATGAAGGTGGCTATGTTCTAACAAAACTTTATTTACAAACACCCTGAGTGGACAGGATTGAGCCTGTGAGCCATACACAAATTGTTGTCCTGTGGCTCAGACTATAATTTACCCCATGCGTGAATCCCTTCCAAAAGATTCTGTAAATGGTCATATACTTCATCTGAACATGTCCAGGGGCTAGAGCTTCTCGGGAAGAATGAAAGGGTAACTCCAGAAAAAAAAAGTTTCTGAAATAACGAACGTATTCAGTGTTAAAAGAAAGGCAAACAGAAGAACATATTAGAATGAGGAAAGTAGGAGAACACTCCAGAAAATGGAGCTGTAGAAAAAGTACAAGGTGTGTCTCAGGAGAATGAGTCCACTGCAGAGCAGTTCCATCCCAGTGCTCTACAAAGCATGAAACAAGACTGGGCACCAGACAACTAGCTCATAAAGTCACACAAATAAAGTTGGCTTCTTAGCCTCATGGGGACATGTGTGCTCAAATTCAGCAAAGCATCTAAGTTTGCTCTGGTCAGGGACAAAAAAGGTCAAGGATTAGATATTCTTAGATACCAGATGGTCCAATATTGACACAAAATCTTTCCTCTCCAATGAATGGAGTTTTATTCTGGTGATTTCCATAACTCAGGGGGAAATCTGTGAAGGGTGTTGGCGAGCTGCGCTTCCCCTCCTCCCGCCCTCCTCTGTCCCTTTCTGCTCCAATATTAGACATGGCTGTTCTAGTTAATTCCTCTGTTCATCATTATTGCCTTATTTCCCCCCCCCCCAGCAATCAGCCATTAGGGATAAATTGTGTCCCCCAAGTTTACTATATACTAACAATAGATGCTAAATAAAATCTGTTGAAAACTACATGAATAGTTTAGCAATCCTACTGTGGGGCCATGAGAAAGTCAAAAAGTAGAAAGTGCTCTGCTTTCCACTTGCCCCATTTAGTGTTGCAAAACAGTCAGATGACTTGTCAATTTATAACCGGTCCTTATTTCCAGATATCTTGAACAATGGGAGGGCAAGGTATATCCAAAAACACAGTCAGCTCGTTCAAGATGCCTCTTCTATATCTAGGAAACAGTACAGAGCACTGAAGGCTACATACACAAACAGATCTGGATTCAAATCCAGGTTCTACCGATTACTATGTATGTAACCTTGAAGAAGTAACTTCCTCCCCAGTATTCAGCTTCTCGTGTGTACATCAAAGATAATGTCATGTGCTTCACGATGTTGCACTCATAACAACGTATAGAAAACACTAGCTCATCGAACATCGGTTCCTTTGGCTTCAAGTCATTGCCAATGAAGGAATAATGAGAAATAAGTCCAAATGATATTCTGTTCCTAGGACTAGAGCCACCGCGCTTTAGATGACTAGCACTGACAGCGAGCTGAGCTGTGTGAGGCCCGAATGGCCGACTGCAGCCCAGGAATGCTACGAGTCCTACCACCAGCAGCTCCCGACGCGGCCCAGACCTCTGTAGTAGACATTTGTTAGATCATGACAATTCAAGCCAACAGGATCACTGTCTTGAACTTTATCCTGTGGCCAAAATAATTCATTTGAGTCATATCTAAGAATCTTCCTCATTTTAACTGGTAGTTCAGGTTCAATGGCAAATTGAAAAAGCTCGGTCAAAACTCCAGGGACAGCAGCAACCTGATAAACTACTTGGATTAATTCTAGATTCCATTCACAGTCTTTTCCCGTGATGACATAGGACCCAGCAAGATCCACTGGCCTCTCCAGGCCTTCATGAAAACGGGAAGGCCCGATCTGGCCACCAAGGCAACCTATACAAGTACAGAGGTTGTGTCTAGGCAGAGACTTCTAGGCGGTTGGGAAATGGAATCTGATGACCATGTTAGAATTTCAAGTCAACACCACAGAGTCATCTGTTTCCTCTACTGACGGTTTCTTCATAATAAAGAATGTCTTTTTTTTAGTAGGCATTAATAAAATCCCATGGAGCACAGGAAGGAACATAATTGCGTGTAATTCCCTCTCCGCCCAAATGTCAAGGGAGTGTAAAGCCCATAGAAATATAAAAATCGATGCTGAGGGATATCCCAGCTCCATAGGGCTGACTGCAGGTTCTGAATGCCTATAACCTACAGGCTCGGTGCCGCGCTGGGGCTGCTCCCCGCACGCCCCGGGCGGGGTGTGGAATCCGACGGGCTGCAATAAGGTCCTCCTATATTTGCATCCTCAAGGGCTCCAGTCCAGAGACCCCGCACTCAGTGCAACGGACACCCTGGCTGCACCAGTACAGTAGCGAGAACGTAAGACACCCCTTCTCTTGAGGCAATTTTTCCTTTCGATCACTGGTAACAACCTTCCTTCCAAGTTTTACTGATATGTCCTTGTCCAGTTCCATTCTTGGAAACACTGACTGCAGAGCCTCTTTGGAGACCTAACCGAACAGGACCATGGAACAGATAAGGTGCCGGAAGGCTACTGGGAGGAACCACACTATGAGGCTGAATCATGTGACAAACACACTATGAGGCTGAATCATGTGACACTGCCAATATTCAGCCCTTTTTAAACTACAGAAATAACAATTTTATATGGTTTAACCTATCTACCAAGTAACTTTCTGAAAGGTTTAGAATCGCTAGCTATATGTTCTCAGAAATAGTTAAAAGTCAATGCTTCAGCTGATGCGACCTCGAGGCACCAAGTCCATGCATGGGCTTCCAATCCTCTGAGATCACTTAAAAGGGACCATATGCTGGGCCATAAAAGTCATCTTAATAGATTTCAAAAAACTGAGATCTTATAGTGTAGTCTCTGACCGCAATGGAATTAAATTAGAAATCAACAGCATGACGTCTTTAAAAAGTCCCAACAACTTACTTTTTGAAAACCCATGGATCAAAAAATAAATCACAAAGGAAATGAAAAAATATTCTGAACTGACTGAGAATGAAAATACCAAAATTTGTGGGATGCAGTTAAAGTAATACTTAGAGGAGAATTTATCCCTTTAGAGGCTATGTGAGAAAATAAGAAAGGTCTAAAATCGGTGAACTAACTTTGCACTTTAGGAAGCGAGCAAAGGAAGAACAAATTAAAGCCAAATTAAACTGAAAAAAAAAAAAAAGAAATAATAAAGAGGAGAAAGCAAGAAAAAACAGACAAGAAATGGGGGGAGGGGCGGGGTAGAAGCCAAAAGCCAGTTCATTGTAAAGATAAATACAATAAAAGTTTAACTACACTGATTAAGAAAAAAAAGAAGATACAAATTACTAAGATCAGGAATGAAAAAGACAGGACACCGCCTCAGAGCCTTTAGACATTAGAATTATAAGGGAATTCTATGAAAACTGGACAAACTTGACAGTCTGTACCAGTGATCTGTAATTTCCCTGATGGCCAAATCCAGTTTGTTACCTGTTTTTATGCTTTTACCAAAACAAACCGCACACATTTATTTACATATCGTCTCCGGCTGCTCTTGCATTACAACAACAGGGTTGGATAGTTGTAACTGAGACCATATGGCCCACGAAGCCAAAAACGTTTGCTACCTGACCCTTCAGCGAAAAGGTTCCTGACTTTTGGATTAGATGAAATAGACAAATTTCTGGAAGCACACCAATACCAGAACTGATTTAAGAAGAAACAGAAAATCTGAATAGCCCTTTGTCTATTAAAGGTACTGATTTTGTACTTATAAACATGCTTACAAAGAACTCCACAGGTCCAGATGGCTTTTCTGGTGAATTCTATCAAATGGTTAGGAAAACACTAATACAAATCTCACACAAACTCTTTCTGAAAAGAGAGGTGGAGGAAACACTTCCCAATTCATTCTGTGAGGCCAGTATTATCCTGATACCCAAATCAGAAAAAAAACATTACAAGAAAAGAACACTATGGAGATAAAAAAAAAAAAAAAAACCAGCATTTAAAAATTAGCACGGAGCTGGCTCATCTCATTCTGAGGGACAGTTAAAATAAAAAACAAAAACCAAAAAATCGAGGACGTACCAATATCTGAAGAACAAGAGAGAAGACAGCCTGCAATCAACATAACATGATACCCGAGGCCCTACATTCTCTCAAGGCATGTGGTAAGAGAATGATCTTAAGTTCCCGCTATGGCGGGAAACCCCACCTCTCTCTTCCCCACGGCTTGTATGGCATATTCACCTTCGACAGCAGCTGCAATAAAAAAGACCTATGGCCCCTTGGCCTTAACTCCATTCAGAATAAAGCTTTGACCATGTCTCTAATGTTCAGAGCTGTGTCCCCAGAGCCAAACACCTGACAACATGGCAGTCACATCATAGGTAAGTCTTTCCGTGTCTCAACTAGACTTAGGTTTTAGAAAGTAAAACCTAGCGGTACCAACTTCATACATTCTCCCCAAGCTCACTGGCACCCAGGACAGTCATGGCCATGCGAACCCGTGGCCATTAAGTGTGACAACTCTGTTGGGAAGGGACTGGCTCAGGCAGTGCCTGTGTCGGAAACAAAACACCTTGGCTTCTGAGACTGGAGCTGGTTCCTTCAGTATCTGGGTATCTGCTGAGTACTGATGAAAGGGGAGCCCACCTGCAGCAGCTTCCGAAACTAAGAGGGGTTCCCTCTGAGTACATCAGTGTGTGTCCGTCTAACTTGAGGGGTGGAAAGAGTTCCCCCGATTCCCTGGGTTACACTGAGTTCCTCCTCGACCTTCAGTGCACTGGCCAAGGAAGGACCCTACAGAGACAGGTGCTTGACATGTAAAGGCTCCCGACTCTCTATCCAGGATCGATGACACCGTTGTGCCACCGACACAGCACTGACTGCAGACGTGTCTGGGTGAACGCCTGTCCACACTGACAAACATTGAGACACGAGGTCGTTTCGTGTCACTACCTGAAATTTGCTTGTTTATTTTCTACCTTCCCCACCCGAATGTAAGCTCCACGAGGGCAGGGATGTCTCCTTTCTTAGGCGCCACAGTATCACACTGCTTGGGCACAAGGCAGGCACTTGATCGGTATTTGTTAAATGAGTGGCTACCGGAGGACCATCTGACTCCAGCACGGAATACTGATGACCTAACAGTATGTGAGTAGAAACTTTATGAGGCTGTCTTGCCCAAGGAAGGTTTGGTGTTTGCAGATAACCTAGCAGATAACCACACGTGTTAACCATAGGAGTCAGTCAACTCACAGCTGGCATACGAGCGACTGTCGTCCTCACACATTTTGTGCAGCTGCTGGTATTCCTCCTGAGCCAGCTCGAACCGCTGCTGCTTAATCTGGTAGATTTCTTTCTTGGCATTTAGAGCCTCCTGGGCTACAATTAAATATTCCTTCAACATCCGTTCCTGCTCTCGCCTCCACTGTTCTCTGGGATCCTCAATCTGGGTAAGCTCTGAAATTAAAAGAGTAAGAACATAAGTGACTTCAACGTCAAATCTTTAGGTTGACCAGTAGTCAGGCAGTTGTGTGACTAGTTGATATGAAAATTAATTACCGGGATGCGCATAATGGAAGAGTCTACATAACGAACCTTCCTAAAGCGGGGAACACCTTCTGTTTTTATTGTCCATAGTTAAAATGAGGAGAAAACGCTATCGTCATGACCTAGTTCATTGGAGGGGGAAGACGATACCAGATCGTTTTTCGCATTGTAAATAAATGTTGGCAGAGATAACGCAAACGAGCTCCTTACCGTCAAACTAACAGATTTCCAAACCTCTTCTCACTGACCTCTTTGACTCAGGTGCGACCAGCCCCGCTGCCCCCCGACGCTGCTTGCTCCCCTTTTCCTTCCGCCACCCACGCCAGCGCGTGCGGTCCTTTCGCATTCCTCCTGGACCTCCCCGTCGCCTCCCACCCACAGACTCCCGCATTTCCCGCTATGGCTTTCTCTCCCTATAAGCTCCCGTAAGGGGCCCCGCCCACCTCCGGCTCCGACCTCTCTCCCGAGCCCCCATCTTTTCTTTCCAGCTGCCTCCTAGGTGCTTCTCCACCTGGACAGACCCAAAGTAATTCTGGGTCATTCGTCCGCAGCACAACTCATTCTCACACAGTGCCCTTTGGCTACCAGAACCGAAACCAAACGAAACAATGACACAACGACAAATGCCCGCTTCCCCTCTGCCCTCCCTCTTGCAGTGAGCGGCATCGCCTGCACGCACCCACTTAGCCGACTGCGGGATTCGGCCTGGGACTCGCCCTCAGAGAAGTCCTGCTCTTGTCCCTCACCCAGACTCTGCCGTGGCTCAGCGAGAACCAGGGATTCTTGCCCCTAGATATGGCCATGACTAACGACACACTCTTCTCTCCATCACCCCTTACTTCGATCAGCCCTTCACTATCTCTGTTCGAAAACACCCAGGCTTCCTGTTTCATCCACCAGAAGCCATCCTCAGTGCGCTCGCAAAGCTGCCTTCTTACCTCTGCTTGCAATTCTTGCACACACGAACTTTTTTTAAAGCACAAAGTACAATATTCTCCGCGTGATGGGAGCCCCGACACTCACTTGCCAGCTTCACTTCTAGTTCCTGCCCTTTCCCCCACAAACATCCTCTAAACAGACTGAATTTGTCCCGAGTCCCCATCTTTGGCAGTGCTCACCTGTGCGTTCGTTCATGCTGCTTCTGGCCTCTTCTGACCCCCAGGAAACCTTACCATCTTCCGAGTCCCTTTGCAAAGGGACCTCTCTTTTGAAGCCTCCTCTGCTCCTCAGAACACATGTGTCTCTATGCAATGGCTAGGACTGCTGTTCCTACCACTTAGCACATAATCGCTTTTATATTTCTTTGTTTACTACCCGAACTACGAGTCCTAGGAGGCAGGTGCACAGCCTCAGTCATCTTTATATTCTCAGGACCTTTCGTTTGCTGGCAGTCAATTGTTGGCAATCAATTGTCGACCGCAAGCTCACTGAATGAGGAAAGGGAGGGGAAGTCTGCTCTGTGGTCCCCAAATCAAATCCTTAGATTGAGGGGACACAGTGAGCGAATGGGCAAGACACTCAGACTCAGGAAAGACTAACCCTCCTCATGCAACGAATCTTCTAGTGAAGATTTCAACAGAAAAGCCACCCTAAATTAAGGAAAAAATGGAAAGTGATGTCCCTGTTCCAAATTTAGAGACCCCAGAGTATGGTGGCTCTGTTATAATGATTACATCTTAGTAAATATATGTGGGCTGCTGGCAGCCAAAACAAAATAAGAGCGACTTTATGGGCGAGCAAGGCTGGTAAAATTCTCCCACCCGAATCCTAAATGACTTTGCAAAATCATTCTTCTAAAGTGTGCTTGAGCAGCCAGAAGGTGGAAACAACCCTAATTCCATCAACTGATGAATAAAATGTGGTCCAGCGAGACAATGGAATGGCATTCGGCCATAAAAAGGACCGAAGTTCTGATACGCGCTACCTCTAAAACATGACGCTGAGTGAAAGAAGCCAGGCGCAAAAGGTCACATATGGCATGGTTCCGTTTATACGACATGTCCACAACAGGTCAATCCATAGGGACAGAAAGCAGATTCGTAGTTGCTGGGGGCTGGGAGACTGGAGGGGAAATGGGCAGTGACAGCTAACAGGGTCAGGGTTTCACCTTGGGATGATGAAATGTTCTGGAACTAGACAGAGGTGGTGGTTTTACAACACTGTGAATGCAGCAAATACCACTGACCTGCACACTTCACGACTGTTAATTTTACATTCTGTGCATTTCACCTCAAAGTGGTTAAAAAGGTCAATTTTATGCTATATTTAACACACGCACATACACACGCACACAAGTGCTTGCTAGGATATTTCAAGTTCTCCCTTTTAAACCCCCTCCCGCCAACATCCCTCACCCCCCTTCACACCGCCGCCCCCGGGCCCTCGTAGAAAGCCTCTCCGAGCCTTAAAAGCTCACACGGGGACATAAGAAACCAAAAAAACAGACATCAGGGTCCTGCCCTGGCCCCGGAGTTCCGATTCAGCAGGCCTGGGCCAGGGCAGAGTCACCGCTGTCTGTAGCTGCCCGATGTCTCTGACATTTGACCGGAACGGTTCATCCTCTGTCCGGTGCACTGGAGGGTCCTGGGAAACCTGAAGTGGTTAACTCAGGCCCTCTCTGGTCCCTCAGCCCACTGTCGACCTGCACAGCTCCAATTTCATATAACTGCCTCCTCAGGTCCTGTGCCTTTTTAAAGCTGTGCTATCAAGATTTGGGGCCTCAGGAGCAAGTTTTCTGCAATAGAGACTTTGACCCCCTATGTAAAAATTATTACAACAATAACCTTTCCTGTTCCTGAAAAAAAAAAAAAAGTGGGTTCTCTGAAGGTCTCAGAAGGAAGAGGTGGTGTGACCCTGGAGCTGATGTCTTCACCCGTGTCCCCCACGGTACTGGGTCATCCCACTTATGCTCAAGGTGGCATTGAAAAAGTCCTTGATGATTACTCAGTTTTAGGGTTCATAGCCATGTCTAGAGTGTCATGGTGAACCCTTGAGGGTAGAGACTGGGTCTCACTTTCCTGCGTCCCCAGGGCCCAAAGAGTGACCAGCACAGAGAGGCACCCTATAATGCTTGCTGTGACTCAGTGAGCAGGGGAGCCAGGGGGCAGGGAGGGATGAGCAAGTGGGGTTTATGAGAGAGACGAGCCAGAACAGGTCCTGGGCCTCAGCAGCAGGCAGGCAGGCTTTCCAGAGAGATTGTGTAAGGCAGATGCCTATGCTGCTCAGTCATACTACCTGAGGCCGGGGGGCAAAAGCCTGGTAAAGAAGCCGCGGTGCACACGTACACAGGCCTACAGCACAGCGCACGGCACAGCGGCCGTCCCCTGTGGGAACTGCCCTCCTCTGTGGGAACTGCCCTCCCCTGTGGGAGTGGCCCTCACCTGTGGGAGTGGCCCTTGCCTGTGGGAGTGGCCCTCGTCTGTGGGAGTGGCCCTCACCTGTGGGAGTGGCCCTTGCCTGTGGGAGTGGCCCTCGTCTGTGGGAGTGGCCCTCGTCTGTGGGAGTGGCCCTCGCCTGTGGGAACTGCCCTACCTGTGGGAGTGGCCCTCGCCTGTGGGAGTGGCCCTCATCTGTGGGAACTGCCCTACCTGTGGGAACTGCCCTCATCCGTAGCAGCTGCTCTTACCTGTGGGAGTGGCCCTCACCTGTGGGAGCTGCCCACCAGCAGCTAGGAAGGCAAGCCCAGATGGCCAGACACCCCGATCACACACAGACTCTGGGTTCTGGGTCGGCTTGGGCTACGGGGAGGGCTGCTTTCAGCCAGAGTCTTTAAGTGCCATACCCTGTCCACTGGGGGGATAGATCCACCTAGAAGCCTTCTTCCCACCTGGATAACTGCCTGGCGAGTACTTGTCCCCAGTGCCCAATGTAGTGCATGGCTGAGTGCCATGAATCAGAAACTGCACTGCCCCAGGACTGGCACAGGGAGCCTCACCGTTCAGGTTTCCAAATGAGGAACTCGGGAAGTGAGTCGGCAAGTGACAACGAGGGAACTGGCCCTAAAGACACCAACCTCAGGCAATCACACTAAGAGGACATGAGGAGCCATGGGACCAGAGTGAGGACAGAGCTTCGAAGTCACTCACGTGGTGGGCATCGTGCATCTTCAGGCCCTCCCAGCCTCCCCCGCACTTAAGAAATCAGAGGACAGGAAGCACACTAAGGGGAAGCCATGCTTCATGTCCCAGTAGTAAAAAATGACAATGGCAGAAACACAGAGGTCAGAGAGAATGAAAATTGGAGAGAGTGAGAAAGTATGAACCTGAGAGAAATAGATGCCCAGCTGATATCCAGTGGAGAAAGGCTGATGAAGAGACAGAAAGCCAGCAGTGACGGGTAGAGACGGGTCTAGAATGAAATGGAGCCTGTGAATCAGGGAGTGTCAACCTCAGCACTACCGACGTTTGGGGTCAGCTCATTCTCTGCTGTAGGGGCCGTCCTGTGCATTGTAGGGAGTAGCAGCATCCCTGGCCTCTACTCACTAGATACCAGTAGCACCTCTCCCATGTGTGACAACTGAAAATGTCTCTGGGAGGCAAAATAAGCCCTGGTTAAATATCGCTGCTCTAAACAGTTCCACAAAGAAGGCTGGCATGGTCAAGGACCCAGTGTTTTAGCTGTAGTCTTTACACCATTTTCTCCCTTCACAAAGATCAAAAAGGTTTGCTGTATTAAAGTTAAATGTAGAGGCCAAAATGAAGGTAAGGTAACCACCTGGGCAGTTATTGTTCCGAGAACCTGTAAGCTCCACTTAGCAAAAACCAATCTCAATTATAAGAGGTATTTCTATTTTCAGGCTGCCTGGGAAATTGATTCCTTATATTAGATATTGAAGCCCTCCATTAAACAGACGCCATGCAGTGCTAAGCAACATAACTACTTCACTTTTTTTAAGAACTCAGCTAATGAAAACTTCAGGTTACCTTTACAAAATCCAGTTTAATGCTGCATTGGGCAGTAATGATTGTTTTGCTGCACATAAGGAGATTCGGCATCTTTGAGATCAACATGAAAATTTGTTCACATATAATAACTCAAATGTGGGACTCTACTTACTATTTATGTGGTCCATGTAATAAATTCCGATTTGTTTATCGTATACAGTTTCCCATCCTAAAGGAAGTTCGTCCCCAACACAATCGGCAAAGGTCAATGGCTTTGTTATCCTGCAAAATACAATTATGAAAGGAAAACTGAAAATCAGGTCAATTTCATATAAGTTTGGCGAATCGACTCAAGAATTAGGTTTGAATACAAAATGATATATCGTCTTATCTAATTGACAGCTCGTGCCCCAGCTTTCGGTTGGAAAATTAACTCACCGGCTTTGCCTAAATAATAATAAGTAACAATATCAGTGCCCTCGCAGTTAAAAACATTACTATCTCAAAGTGCAACTTTAAATACCAGCGAAAATAGATACTGAAAGTTACAAAACAGGTAAAACGAGCATCTTCCTCCAAGGAGGTGAAGGCAGTGGAACGCAGCTCCTCCACAACAATGGCGAGCAGCTCCACTCTGTTCTCTCTCCCTCTCAACCTTCCATTTCCATGCATCTCAGCTTGAGTTGATCTCAAATGCATCCGTACTACTTTCGTCTACCAGTGGTCATAAGTTAAGGAGTTATACGTTAACCACTGGCCAAATGCAAAAAGCCAAACAAGCACGGTAACAATACAAGGAGATGCCTACTAAATACTGCCCGGATTCCTGATACAGTGAGAATCAAGATTGCAAAGGGTCCTTTACGTTTTCTGAGAAAAACAACAACAACAACAACAGCACATTGTCTTACGGGCGTCTCTCCTTGAAGTAAATCTGATTAAAGAAACCTTGGCTTGACACAGATAGATAAAGGAAAGGTTTCCAGATGGGTTTCTTTAAGCAGAAAGCCCCCCCACCCCCGTTCCCGCACAGCCCATTATCACACTGATTGACAAGACAGCTGTTGTATAAAACCGGCCACACCTATAATTGTCTGAGTCCGGGCAGAGATCTACTGGGTCGGCTCTATAAATGCACACTGACTGGCATGCATGGGAATCCGATAACCTAAATTTCACTAACTCAATCCTCCCACATCCTCTGTTCAAGTCCTTGGCCCCAGGAAAGTGAGACACCACAACCACGGCCAAACCCCACAAGACCAGTATAAATTTTGAACATGTTAACCCCCCAAACTGGTTCAACAACAAGGCTCTGTCTCTCCCAATAGCACTTAGAAACCAATGAACACCATCAGAACGGTACTGATTTTAACTCGTCTGCATTTTAAACATATGGTTAAGCAGTTAGAGTCACGATCAAAACAGGAAAATATACAAGGTAAAATACGCCACGGACATCCTCCCAAACACCGCGCACTCTAAAACCCACGACGTCGCAAGAGCCTACTGCATGCCGGTGCCATCCTACGACACCAACGTCCACAGCATGATTCCTTTACAGGTCGGGTGCGCTGTGACGGTGGCATAATACCAAGTGAAGCACATAAGGGCAGAGTGTTGTGCATGATTCAAATCCTGAATGTGACCAAACCACAACAAAAACAATGCTGCTTTGAGATAAACTGAGTCCTGAGCACATCTCTGCTATCCTACATCCACGGATAAGCCTAAGGAAAAATGCCCAAGCACAGGCGCACTCTAAGCACATTTACATACGTGATCTCATTCAATCAACAAATGCTCATACCGGCACTACTCACAATAGCCAGAAGGTGGAAACAACCAAGGGCCGTCAACCGTGAACGGACATATGCTACGACATGGATGGACCCGGCAGTCACTGTGCTGGGTGAAAGAAGCCACATACAGAAGGCCGCATGTTGTGTGCTTCCATCTATGAGAAATGTCCAGAACAGGCAAATCCATAAAGACTGATGGCAGACCAGCGGTCGCCAGTGCTGGAGGAAAGAGGGAACGAAGAATGACCGCTAACGGGTATGCGGCTTCCTTTAGGGGTGATAAAAATGTTCTGGAACTAGATAGTGGTGATGGTCGCACAACTTGGTGAATATGCTTTAAATGGTGGATTTTATGGTTATGTGTGAATTACATCTCGATTTAAAAACAGCAATGAAAAGAACATCTCTGCAGCTCATAATCTGTATTTACAATTATTTTCTTTGAAAGAGTCTCAGAAGTAAATTACAAGGTCTGAGGATGTGAAGCTCCTTTCTCCATATCTTGTTTTCGATGTAAAAAATTCAGACAGTAAAGTAGAAAGACTAGGAAATAAAATCACCCATAATCCAGAAGCCCTGGATTCATGCTTTAGTTTATTTCCTCCCTTCTTTTTCCTACATTTTTTCCACAGCTGACATCATACTAGATACAATTTCATCCACTGGTTTTTTTTCATTTGTGTATTTCCTCAGGCCCTTTAACTCTTTGTCAGCATCACGTTCTATCATGTTGCAGTCTTCCATCATGTGCAGTAAACCATAATTTATTTACCAGCCACCTCGAATCATCTATTTAGGTATGTTCCAATTTTCTGCTCTTTATTGTAAATAATGGATATGAGCTTACAGTAAACGCGTGGTACATACTGCCAAAGTGATTTACCATCAGCCTACACTCCTACTAGTGAAGTAAGAGATGGTCTTTTTCATCACCCTCTGGGGATATCTTTAACACATTTGTTCAAGGGTTCAGAATAAATCCATATGGCACAGGCGTGCTTTACTTTCAAGGAACAAGTTGGTAGGGAGTACAGCATAAGTTTAATAGCATTTTCAGAATGTGGGGGAGTTGGGAAAACATGGTAAGCAATGAACTGAGAAGCAGGGTACCCACTGTTCCCACGCTTCAAGGCCATGCACTCAGATCGTAGCTTAAGGCCTCCGGGCCAACTCTCCCTAATGTCTTCACTCTGTCTCCCCATGTGAGCGACGTCAACCAGGAGAGTCGCCCTGCCCTCAACCACACTCAGATATTCCCATTGCGGATTCTCCCCTTAACAAATGGCTCTTCTTGGCCTCAGCAGAGAAAATGAATACGTTTTGCATTCTTACCAGAGTTGGTCTACGAGAAGGGAGAGAATGATGGATGGCACAGACGCTGGCTTCTTTTTAGTCCCTTCTGCCTGATGCATCCTACAGGGCTCTTTCAGAAGTGGCACTGGGCCATTTTAGTCAGTGCCAGTTCCAAGAGAGCCGTTTATTGCCCTGAAACCTTGGATGAGTCATTCTCTCTCTCTCTCTAGAACTCAGTTTTCTAATCTTGCAAATGGGGACGCTCAGACAACCCTCACAGGGTCACGTTAGCTGAGACAGCCTCTTCAGTTACCTCAGGGTGACTAGCTCCATCCGCTCCCCTTCCTGCTTCCCTCTCATTTCTCCAGCAGACTTGCTTCAGACTGTAAGAGTTTAATTTTGCTCCTGTAACAGATTACCGCAAACTTGGTGGCTTTAAACAACACAGATTTTTTGTTTTCTGATTGGCTGAAGAATTTCTTTTTTTCTTTTTTTATTATTATTAAAAAATAATTGGGGTGACATTGATCAACAACACAGATTTACTGTCTTACAGTTCTGGGGCTCGAAGTCCAGGTTGGTTTCACTCGACTAAAACCAAAGTGTCAATAAGGCCACGTTCCTTCTGGAGGCTCAAGAGAAGAATCTATTCTCTTGCCTTTTCCAGTTTCTAAAGAAGCAACTAGTACAGCAAACGGTATAATTCACCGCATTAGTAACTGCATTCCATGGAGGCTTCCTCCATCTTCAAAGCCGGCCACGGTCGGCACTGTCTTTCTCAGGAGGCCATCTCTCTGGCTCTCCCTCTTTCACTTACGAAGACCCTTGTGATTACATTGGGTCCACCTGGATAATTCGGGATAATCTCTCCATTACAAGATCCTTAAGTTAGTCACGTTTGCAAAGTATCTTTTGCCGTGTAAGGTTACATGTTCACAAGTTCCAGTCCTAATCAGGACATGGACATCTTGGGGGGCCATTACTGGGCCAACTACAGATAGCCGCTGGGGAGACTGCAGGGCAAGAGAGGGTGAGCAAAGCAGTCGGTGGCAGTCCAGTGCCCCGAAGCCCGAAGACCATGCCTTCCTTCCTAGCCAGGGCTCAGGGGCCTGGAATACCTGACATCAACAACACTAAACTGCAGAAAATTAGAGGCGGGCAGCGGAAGGTGAGAGCAGAGAGAAAGATATAAACACTGATTTTTAGCACATTTTCTTTATCAAAAGGAGGCCAGGGCAAGCCTGTGGCACTTGTACTATACTTTCCAGTCTCCTGGAACAAGATGATCTTTATATTTCCAATTCATGCTTGCTTTCAATATGCTATTCAGAGAGGATACGATTCATCTCAATTTCAGTTCCAAACCAATCCTCAAGAAATCATAATGACTTCCTTCACCTTTTCTAACACACCTGGCTCACAGTGAGTCTCAAAGCCCGCCAGAACATGGACACCAGTCTGTTTGTGGTTACTAATGCGGTGAATTATACCGTTTGCTGTACTAGTTGCTTCTCCAACTTCAATGGCATAACCTTGACACCTGAGAGCTGGGGTTCTCACTCAGTACTGAGCGGGTCCCTGAACTCTCTGAAATCTCACAAAAACACTGAGATGCACAGTCCCGGGCTTTCAGCAGGTTCCCGGAGATGGCGGTCACTCCCAAAAAAATGAAGTGAAAAAGCTCTTTTGGAAAGATTCCTCACTTCTCTGTCAAGTTTAAAAGCACAGTGAATGTACCACAAACCTGCCACATTCTTCCTGAAAAGTCGTTAGAATAATCGCAACCTTTACATTTTAACTCCAGATATTTATTTAGAATACACATATACATTGACTTGGTAATTGTCATCGAGTCCCAATTGTAGAATTTAGGGTAAAGAATTATCACACCTAGAACTCAGTCTAAACGTTGCAGTTGACATTTCTGTGTTTTGACGTAGCACGAAGAACCTAAGTTTATTTATTTATTTTTTTAGGACTCGATTTTAGTAATGAGTCTTGGAATCGTTCTTGAATCACATTTGTGATTTCTGTGCGAAAAGACTGTCTTCTTGAGAATCAAAAAAAAAATTTATTATACACTTCAGTCTTTTCATTGACCCAAACACAAAACTAACAGTTAGGGTTTGTGGACAAACTCCCAGATTAATCTGAAGAGCAAACGTCTCCTCAATGACATCTCAAGGA